AGAGCGGTTCAATGTCCCATCTGTTCTGCCAAGGGGGTGTTTGCTCCCACTCTCACCAGCGCCTCGCATGCCAGCGTCTGCCGAGCTCCTGGGGCTGACAGCTCGTGGCCCCCACGTTGAGTCTGCGTCCTGCCAGGCTGAGGGCAGCGCTGGCAGCAGCTCACCCGACCCTGTGGCGTGGGCAGCACAGAGTGGAGGGTGCAGACCTCGGCACTTTTTAATTACTGTTTAATAAAATGACAGTTTAACTCAAATAGGATGTGTGCCATTGGCCTCTGACTGCAGGGCCCCTCCCCTCCTGAATCCTGGCATCCTGGCCTGTGTTAGGAATGGTGTGGCCAGCAGGAGCAGGGAGGTCATTCTGCCCCTGTACTTGGTGCTGGTGAGGTCAAATCTTGAGTGCTGTGTCCAGTTCTGGGCTCCTCAGTTTAGGAAGGATGTTGAGATGCGTGAGGGGCTGGGAACACAAACCCTGTGAGGAACGTTTGAAGGAAATGGGATTGTTTAGCCTGGAGAAGAAGAAGCTTGGAGGTGACCTTATTGCTCTCTACAGCTTCATGAAGGGACGTTGTAGACAGGTGGGGGTTGGTCTCTGACAGAACCAGAGGACTCAGTCTCAGGCTACATCAGGGAAGGTATAGGTTGGATATTAGGAAGAAATTTTTCACCAAAAGAATAATAAAGTACTGGAATGCTCTTGCCAGGGAGGTGGTAGAATCACCATCTCTGGATGCGTTTATAAAAAGACTGGACATGGCACTTGGTGCTATGGTCTAGGTGAGCTGTTAAGGTGATGATTTTAGAGGTCTCTTCCAACCTCATCATTGTGTAAGCTGCTATGAAATAACCAGGATGCCATTAATGGTAGGCAGGATGCTGCCATTGCTGCTGTGGTGACTGAGATGCCCTGGCAGTAACTGGCACGCAGTGATGGCAACCAGCATGGCACCATTACAGTAACTGGGAGGCTGTTACAGTAACCAGGGTGCCGTTACTGCCCAGGTGTTCCATCAACTCCCGGCCGTTGCAGGGGCCCTGTGGCGCCGGCCATGGCAGCACCGAGCAGCCAGAGCTCCTCACTGCGGCAGGAGGAGGTCAGACAGGGCAGGGGCTGGGAAAATGGAGGCTGTCCTGGGAGGCTGTGGGCTGCAGTGTGCCCTGGTGCAGGTTAAACCCCAGGCCACACGATTGTTGCTCTTTGTTTGCAGGTCCGGGTGAATGGGAATGCTGGAGCAGGGTTCCTGAGGAGGTAGAGCTGGCAGAGTACCCCAGGGGCTCAATCCCCTGCACTGCTGGGGATCTGTGAGCAATGAGGAGCACAGGGCAGGCTGGGGGGGACATTTCTGCATCCCTGACCTGCCCACCCTGTGTCTCAATAGCGGGCAGGGGGCCAGGGAGAACCCACAGTGCTGGGCATCGTCCCTCGGGGTGCTGCAGTGGATCGCGGAGTCAAGGCTGAGGAAGTGTGTGGAGCTGGAGCTGCACCTTGCAGACAGGGAGCAGGCAGTGGTGAGGCTGGGCATTGTTGGGTACAGCTGGGGTCCCCCAGCCCTCTGCTGCCAGGGGTGGTGCCCCCCTTGTCCTGGGGAACATCTCCCAGCACTGATGAGCCACTGGGGGTTCAGCACTGCCCCTGTGCCTGGCAGATCCGCCGAGATGCCCTGTGCCAGCTCGTCCTGGATGAGCACCTACAGCACCAGCAGGAGCTGTGCCAGCAGGGAAAAGCCTTCCATGTGGAGCGGCTCTGAGTGCTCAGCCCAGTGTGTGGCACTGGCCTGGCATCTCCCAGCTCCTGACTGAGAATAAAACATGTTGAGCAAGACAGGCTGTGTCTGCTGCATGTGAGGCATGGGACAGCCCAGGGCAGCAGTGGGGGGAAGACACAGCCCAGCACAATTCCTGTGGCTGGGATCCAGACGTGTCGCCTGCAAGCCTGGCTGCCCTGGATCCTACACACTCCATCTTGCCCATGGCTGTGCCAGGAGATGGCAGCACGGCCAGCATGCCTCACCAGGCTGGGTGCTCCACACGGGTCCCTGTCCCAGCACAGTCCTGCTGCACCGTGCAGTGCTCCTGGCAGTGTGGCACAGCCCTGCAGCAGCAGGGAGAGGAACCTGCCTGGGCTGGGTGCAATGCTCCCTGTCCCATCCAGGCACCCCAAGATCCCTGCGTGCTCCCCAGCTGGGAGGGCCCTGTCCCCCACCTCCCATCCCTTCTGTGCCTGACCTTGGTGTCTCCCAGCCCCAGGGCCCATCAGTGCCTGCTCTGGCTCTGTTTATTGACAGGGCTGGCGGCTGCTGGGCCAGCACCCCTCCCCACAGCCCTTCATTAGCTCGGCTGTCGGGCTGCATCACATCACCCAGCGCCACACACGCCCCCGGCTCTGGCACTGCTGCTGCCACGTGTGTCCCTGCCGTCCCCACTGCCCCCTCATTGTGGCTGAAGCCCCTGACCCCCGAGGCTGGGCTGTGTGCCTGTCTTTCCCATGGCACTCAGGTTTCTGTCTGCCCCATGTCCTGTCCCATTGGTCCTACAAAGCGCTCAGGTTTCTGGCTGCCCCGTGTCCTGTCCCATTGGTCCCTCAAAGCTCCCAGTGCCATTCCCGAGGCTGATGTGTCCCACTGCAGCAAAGCACTGCTGTGGTGTGGGAAGGCCATGCTTGCAACACTCCATGACATCCCATGTGCCCTTGTCACTGGGCACCATCATCCTGGTCCCAGCAGCTGCCTCAGTGTGGGTTGGGGTCCTGCCTCAGTCACCCAGCGTGGCTGGAGCCACATCCTCATTATGGATGCAGCAAGGTGACAGGCAGCCCCTTGGAAGAGACACCCCTGTGAGTCCAGCAGCTCCCCAAAGCAAGGGGATGTGAGGCACAACTCCCCCACGTCAACGGGGCTCGTCCTTGTGCAGGGTCATGTGCAGCAGCCCCTTGGTGGCACAGGCCCCACAGGCCAGGGCTGGCCCCCGGTATTGACAGCCCTGCTAATGACAGGGAGTGTCACCAGGGGCAGGAGCAGGCGGCGCGGGGCCATCGACCGCATCGACCGGCAGCAAGGGCGCGGGGGTCCGTGCGGGGGGCAGGGGGACGTCAATGGGTGGTAATTAATGGGAACGAGGCCACGTGTGCGGGGCCAGGGCTGGCGCTGGCCACGTCCCCCTGCTCGGTGCAGCCGAGCGCGGTTATAAACGCAGCCAGGCGACCCCCAAGCCAGAGCGCAGCAGAGTCCCCCAAGCCGGCCCAGGTAAGATGGTGATGGATGTGGGGTCCCTTTGGCCTCAGCCCTGCCTGCCATGGCATGCTGCTCCATGCCAGTGCATGTCATGGTATGCCCTGATGTGCCATGCCAGGAGACCAAGCCTGCACTGCCCTGCTCCAGCTTCATCCTGGCCACAGGACGCCTCCTGCTCCAGCACTGCATCCCGAACAGCCCAGTACCAGCACAGCTGCCCAGCAGGCTCCAGACACTGAGGTGAGGCTGGGTGCTGCCTCTGCAGTGCCTTTGGGGTTATCCTGGGTACCAGTACCAGCACAGGTGCCCAGCAGGCTCCAGGCACTGAGGTGAGGATGGGTGCTGCCTCTGCAGTGCCTTGGGGGTTATACCTGGGTACCACTCCCACCCCAGCTCTCAGCATATTCTTCTTTTTCTCTTACAGGCCGCTGAGCTCCTGGTCCTCCCACCTCCGTCTGCCCCTGTCTCTGTCTGATATGTTTGATATTAGGTTGTTTTATTGGAAAACCAACTAAATATCAAACATATTCTTACAGCGCCAGGGATGCCCAGCACCGACTTGGCCAGATGCTGCCTGTGCCGTGTCTCAGGCAGGGGGACCCTCTGCACCCTGTCCTGCACCCTCTGCTAGTCCCCACTGCCACAATAAAACCTGTCTGCCCATCTCCATGGGATTGAGAGGGGGAGCCCAGAGCCATCCTGGGGGTTGGCGGAGGTTTGGGATGGCAGCGGGGTCAGCGCTTGCCACCTGTCCCCCCGCTCACGCCAGGGATGATGACAATACAAAGGCCTGTGGCCCTGTGCCCAGCTCTGCCTCCACTGCCCTGGCATGGGGGTGTTATTTATGGAGGTGCAGCCGCTGCTCGGGACCCTGGGTAGGCACTGTCCCCTCCAGTGCCCTGCCCAGGGTACCCAGAGCTGCCACCAGCTCTCTGTCCCCAGGTCCCTGGGTGCTGACCCCTTTAGCCCTCAACATCTGTCCCTGGGTGGGAGCAGCAGGTCTCTTCCATGGGAGATCCTAACCTGATTTATGGGGCCAGTGGGACCTGTGGGCTGGCACAAGGAGGCTGCAAATCCCTCAGCTGTGGATGAAGAGCCACCACTTGCCCTGAGAATTCCTCCCTGCGCCTGGGGAATCTGCTCCTCCAGCTGCCAGCAGCATCCTCTCCCTCAGCACCAAGCACCACACAGCTGGAGCTGGGCTTGGGGCTCAGCAGGCTCCCCCTGAGCTCTGGGGGCAGTTTCCCCTGCTGCTCCCTGCAGAGCCAAACACCCTCAGCCAAGCCCCTGCTCCCAAAATAGTGCCAGGATGATCTTGCCCTTTTCTATGCCGCCCCCAGGCAGGGGTAAATGTCAGCCCAGGGCCACCAAAACATCCCAAGGAGAAGGCAAATGGGGGATGAGGACTTCGTGGCAGTGCTGCACGGACCCAGTTCAACATCCTGAGGAAGCACTCGGGGCACCAGCCAGGGTGTCCCGTTGCACAGGGGGAGGGGGCACCTGGAACAATGCAGGACCCCCTGTCACAGACCTGCTGCTGCTTTTTATAACACCCCAGCTGTCCTGGGGAGCCCAAATAAGGCTGTGACCACCCAGAGCCCCCAGGACACACAATGGGTCCCCAGCACAGACTTTTTGGGAAGGTGGGGAGGCGGCTCAGCCCAAGAAAGGCAAAGCCACCGTGCTGGGCAGAGCTGATAAACGGGCAGTGGGGCACAGGCACCACAGCTGCCCTAGCCACCCATTGTCTGTCTGCATCCCGCTGCCCACCGCTGCCCAACGAGGATGGAGGCCATCAAGAAGAAGATGCAGATGCTGAAGCTGGACAAGGAGAATGCCCTAGACCGGGCAGAGCAGGCAGAGGCTGAGCAGAAGCAGGCGGAGGAGCGGAGCAAGCAGGTAGGGCAGAGAGCCACAGCCCCCAGCCCAGGGGTGGTGGGGGGTGCCTGTGCTGGGTTATGCTGAGCCCAGACCCAACAGGGACTCTGCCTGGGGTATGAGAGCGTGTTTTACTGCACTAAATAGTTTATTTAGTTGTAAGAGTGTGACAGCTGCCACTATCCCCCAGCTCAAGGGTGCTCTGAGGGTGGGACAGCCCTGGGGTGTGGGAATGGGGTGGACACTCTGGGGCAGAGCTGGCCCCAAGGAAGGGGCAGGAGGGATGCCATGGGGCAGACCTGAGCCTGGGATGGGGCAAGCAGGGCTCTCTTGGGGTGCAGGGGTTCAGAGTGGTGCCCACCCATGGTGACACCGCTGTCCTTCCAGCTGGAGGATGAGCTAGCTGCCATGCAGAAGAAGCTAAAGGGGACAGAGGATGAACTGGACAAATACTCTGAGGCCCTGAAGGACGCCCAGGAGAAGCTGGAGCTGGCAGAGAAGAAGGCGGCAGACGTATGTATGGGGTGCAGGTAGAAGCTGAATGCTGCCTTGTCCCCCTTCCTGGTGGGACTGCAGCCCTTCCCTATGCCCTGGGGACGCAGGAAGGTCCCTGTCCGGCTCAGTGTGCTCCCGGTAAAACCGTGTAGGTGCCTTCGAGCAGAGAACGGCCCTGTGAAGGACAAATCCGGAGGGCAGAGCTGGGCAGTGAGTGCGGGATGCGGGGTCCACGTGTCCCCGGGAAACTCTGAGTCACGGCTGGGGGTGGCGGAGCCGAGCTCCGGGAAGGAGAAGGAGGAGGGGAGAGCCTTCATCCCCCTGCAGGCGGGGGCTCATGGGCAGCGCGAGCATTGCACAGCCCGGCTATTGTTGTCCGCTGTTTCCAGGAAAACAATGGTGCGAGCGGTGCAGGGTTTCAGCCGGCGGCGGCATCGAGACAGGCATGAGGCACCGCTCGTCACCTGTCAGGACCTGGCAGTCCTTGAGAGGCCGGGATGCCTCAGGCTCCGGTGTCAGAGCCTCGCAGCCCGGCTCTGGTGCACAGAAGGCAGGAGCCGTCCGTGCTCGTGGGGAAGTGCCTGATCCCAGCACGGCGCCTGGGCTGCTCTCACTGGGAGCTCCGGAGCTCTGGAGCTTTGCTGCGGGTCCCTGTGGGCAGCCCTGCGCTGGGACTTGTGTCGAGAGCAGCATTGCAGAGCTCTTCCCACCCTCACACCCTTCTTTCCCCCCTTTGTCCTTGTTGGCATTTTCCCTGCTGTCACCACATTCCCTTATGGATCCCCCTCTGTGCACCTGCAGCCCTTTTTCCCCAGCGTGGCCCATGGGGGTCCTCCAGTTTCCTCCTGGCTCTGGGAATTTTACATCCCGGAGCAGTGAAAGGGCAGAGCTGCTTCCCGGGTGCTTCCAGCCCAACAGAGCCCTTTGGATTCTCACTCACCTCGGAAACATGCTGTGCTCCTGCCTGGCTGCCGAGGGTTTCAGGCAGCAGCCCGGAGCCTTTCCCTTCTATCTACACACTAGAAGCATTGACAAACAGGGGAACGAGAGGGGGGAATGAGAGCAGTAACAGGGCTCGGTGATGTGTTTATCGAGCTCTTGGGGGGCTCCATGACCCTCACGCCACGGAGGAACACAGCTCCCAGCTCTGATCTTCGCAGCGTTATCCTCCTGACACGGGAGGGTTCTCACCTCGGGATCTCACACATGGAAGCGCAGCGGGAGCCTGGCGGCCGCAGCCCTACCGCGGCACGGAGGAAGGA